ATATTATATTATATTATATTATATTATATTATATTATATTATATTATAAAGCATCAGCCGGTCGTTGACGCGATCGAGAGAGCCATAGTGTGCGTAACAGTTGTCTGAGTAACAACGGTACATGGTGTGACAGGCAGATTAAAAGAAGGAGAGAGAAGATATTAGGCAGCCTTACGCTACACAGGGAGTGTTGATATAGAATATATGAACTTACGCGCTCCACTATAATAACAATTACGCCAACTACTTTATTATAGAAAGTATAGAAAGTCAAGCAGTCGACCAGATGGTTGAATAAACAGTGTTGGTTAGCGGAGTGAATTAGCAGTATGAATGAATCAGTTTGGTTTCGCCAAATGTTTACGCCACGAACCGTACACAGTACGTGCATTGTGCGTGAGAATTAATGGTTTATACATTATGTGCTCATTAATTAAGAACAACTTGGTTACACGTGTGTTTTTGACGCGCAGGCTTGATTTAAAGCGTGCAGCTTGCGTGCAGCTTGCGTGCAGAACGTGGCGTTGTGAAATGCGCGAATGATGGTGCAAAAATGGACGACCGGGAGAATTCGACGAATAAAGTGTGAAAGCAACTTAGTTACTGTAACACGTGATTTATCAACGCAGAGTATTTGTTGTGCCGAAATAGATTTCACGGAGATATCTAAAGAATGTTCACGTACTCGGTGCGAGAAATAGAAATATAGATAGCCTGTCTGTATACCGGGAACCCTACTGTCTGTTGGCTAGCAGCGCCATCTATTAGTAAAACATTTCATGAAGTCACCGTCATCGACGAGGTTTTATTTCATGGTGCAAAAAGTTACTCGCCGGTCTCAACTATTGGCTGCCGGATTATGTAAATATGTTTCAACACTTCATAAAGTACTTGTAATTCACTTGTAAGTGATACAACAGGTCATAGAAGAGGCGCCAAGGGCGTAAGGGCAGTAGTAATGATCACAAGTAAGTACGCTGAGTACACCAGATGGCCGGTCCGGCTGGATCCTTAAAAACTGGCTTGAATTCTCTGCGCCACAACGAAAGAGCGGGGCACGTTCGGAGAGAGAAAAGAGAAAGAAGAAAAATAATACGAAGTGGGCAGAAAGAGAGAGAGAGAGAGAGAGAAAGAGAGAGAGAGAGAGAGAGAGAGAGAGAGAGAGAGAGAGAGAGAGAGAGAGAGAGAGAGAGAGAGAGAGAGAGAGAGAGAGAGAGAGAGAGAGAGAGAGAGAGAGAGAGAGAGAAAGAGAGAGAGAGAGAGAGAGAGAGAGAGAGAGA